TGTGTGTGTGTGTGTGTGTGTGTGTGTGTGTGTGTGTGTGTGTGTGTGCATTTGTAGATTGTTATGAGACACACTTCGTTAACAATGCACATATCACATGACAGCTTCTCAGCGGTTAGTTTGTAAGTCACCAGTAACATTGAGTTGTAACGCTCAGAAATAAACGTGTTAGGAGTTTGGCTTCATGCTGTTCCAACGGCTCACACTAATTCAAATCCATCTGTTCAAAATTCAAAAGGAAAACTCAAAGAAGATTTCAAACTCACCCAGAGAGCTGAATAAGTTAGTGCCATATACATTTATTTCATAATGCTGTTTGGATCATTAAAGAGTCCCTATTATGCATTTTGGGGTTCTCCTTTTGCTGTATTGTGTTATATAGGTTTATGTGCATGTAAATGGTCTGCTTCTGTTTACTTCCAGAACTTAGTGACATCACTACGTAACACTAGTGTTTTCCATTGGCGCTCCAACACATTATACGTGATAGGTTAAGGGGCGGGACATCTCTAAGCAGTTGACCAATCACAAATAGAGCCAGCCAGCTACAATAAAGGTCTTTGAATGAAAATGAAAGCATATAAGCAGAACACACTAATATGAAACCTGATAATGAGCATAACAGAAAGCTTGTTTTTCAGTTAGAGAATGGCGACTAGTCACTTTGTAAAGTGGCATAAAGCCAGGATGGGAGACTGTGGGCGTTCAGGGGTTGAATCAGTGTCGGCAGCGTTGGTGGAAGCATGTCAGCCCACAGAGAGCATTAGAGATACAAACATCCAGAGAAAGTACAGCCGCACATATACAGATGTGCCTGTGTTCATTAACGGATGGATCAAAGCAGAGGACAGAGAGACACAAGAAAGAAGACAGAAATCAGGAGGAGAAGAAGAGAGGAGTTTGTCACTACAGAAAGCTTCTCAGCTCTCTAGAAGCTGCTCATGCAATCAAAGGAGACATCAGAAAATACAATACAGGACGGCAGAGAATGTGAGTGTGTTGAATATGAAGAGAGCGAAAACTGGGCCAGACCAATACACAGTTTTCCAAAAGCATTGTTTCACAATCATATATAGATCCGTCAGTGGCTTCCAAGACTTTTCCTTTGCTGCGATTTTAGCGTTCTGCCTTGGAAAATCTGTATTGGTCAAACCCTTAAAGACGAAGAAAAAGTGAGGATGTGTTTCTTACCTTGAGCACAATCTTGTTGTCAGACGTCGGGGTGCGTCCCACCCACAGAGCAAACTTACAGGGGTCTCCTTCTACGTGCTCCGTCACCCCCAACTCTGACGTCTGGGGAAAGAGACAGGGACGATGTGAGAAGATCAGAAATATCAGAGGTACAATGGCTGTTGAAAAAAAGTATTGCTCCAGATAATGTGTTATTTCTTGAGTTATCTGAGACGGTGTTGATTCAGGAAGGATCAATCAGATTTAACTACAGTACTGAAAGTGATGATATGAGGCACAGAGGAACATTTTAAATGCTACTAAATGTCAACTACCAATCAAAAAACGTCTATAAACACTCAAAAACAACAACAACCCTTTTTAGATTAAATTATTTCAAACTCAAGCTTTTTACCGGGAGATTCAGACATTCACCATGTTACTAATGTAGGATTTTGAAAGTTAAAAAAAAAAGAAAAAAAGTTAGTCATTTGAGTATTGATATGTTCGTAAAGAAGCATAATGGGCATAATGGGTTGTCAAAATAAACAAATTCAATCATCAATTCATCAACAACGAACCAGTAAAAGCAGCTGTAATACTAAATATGACGGCTGCTTGCTTGCCGTTTACTTCCTGCCAAAGCACCTCCACTTGTTTTTTACATTTGTAGCGCAATGCCCCGCGCTCTTCAGACTTTTGTTTGGACATCCTTGACTTAATTTCAATGTCTGCGTTTGCACACGGCCCTGCAGTCTCAAGCTCCAAAAAAGGTTTCCTGCTGTAACGCTGCAAATTTCCCCTCTGTGGGACTAATAAAGGTATTCTGATTCTGAATAATTTCTAACAACGTTTTTTTCAAGGACATATTTAAGATGAAGATATTAGTGATTTGGACCTAATTATCTTAATTCTGTTACTCTAATCAATCAGATGCATGTTATCCAAATACCTTTCATTGCGTACAGTGCACCATCGTCTACTTACAAAGAGTTTGCTCTTGTAGATGTATTTGCTCCTGCCGTTTGAGTCCTTGACCTCCTTGCTGAAGATGAGGGACATCTCAAAGAGGAAGAGGTGGCGCTCCCGACCCTTTCGGATCAGAGTCTTTGGGTCCCACACCTGGAAGGAATCCTGGAGAATGAGCTCGCCCTGGGACTCCAGGTTTTCATCGAAACCTGGGAGAAAGAGAGGGTTTTAGAATGTTTGCCTGATTTATGAAGATATTTAATTCAACAGACAGTAAGAGATCAGCGCCACATAAATAACGAGTGTTACCTTCCAGCATGGAGAGGTGCATGGCATCGTTGGCTTTCTTAGGGACACTGAGCATCACCTCCAGGCCGTCCTTTATTTCTCCCTTCCCTTCTTCACAGCAAGTCAGCAGCTCCTAAAAACACACACACAATCAAACAAGGAACTAATAGAGACGCACACCACAGCAGTGAGATTTGAAGGAGTGTTACCTTCAGCAGGAGCTGGTATTTGGTGATTCTCTGCACAGGTTTGATCAGATAGGAGGAGATGGAGTTGGCCAATCGGTGCCTCTGTTGAATTTCCTGTAGAGAGAAGAACCGTGGTGTGATTGCATGTAGATGGAAAAACATTGAATATTGATGAAACGGTTGTTGGTGATACTCACATCAAAGTAGTTCCCAGCATGCTCTAGGATGAGCTGGGTGGAGTCGGGCTTGTTCTTACAGTAGTTCACATACATCTGGAACTTGTCAGCCTAGAGCAGGGAGAGAGATGTTTACAATAGTTGTAATATGAATAGCATACTTTAAGGATATACCAGGCAGCTTATTGCAGCGACACATAACCTGCATGCTCTCTGACTGGCAGAATAAACTCTAATATTTTCATTTAAAGTATAAAACAATATATCCAGTGTTGATTTTATCTAAAGGAAACGGATACAAAATATATTTTTGTCGAATAGTAGGTCTGGGAACACATTTTAAATTGGGTTTATCATTAATAATATCAACAATATCAATAATTATAAGGGTCTTGTCCACAAAAGTAACAATGTGGCATCCCAGGTTACAGCACATCATACTCAGTCACAATACATACAGTAAATAATGTGTGATAAAAATGTGATTGGTGTTTTAGCAAAGATTACAATTATTTGAAGTTGCTGAATTGGCTCAATAATATCTTACGCAGGTCAGTTTTATGACTTCTTTAAAGATGCTGGTGAGCAAATGATACGTACCCATGTGACGAAGCAATGCCCAACATCCTCCGGTAGCTGCTCATATTTCTCCAACTCTTTGAGGAAGATACTGACGATAAAAGAAGCAGTATTAAAATGTGACAAACACACAAGACCTTCAAAAAGGAATGACTAGTTATATTTCAAAATAGAATCCAACACTCTGTATACAGCTTTACAGAGGCATGTAATATATGAAGCTGCTAGATACTGAACTGTGTTTTCATGTTTCTAATACATTATATTTTCCTTTAACACTTGATTTGATTTGATTCTGGATCTGTTTGACTGACAAAGTCCTAAAAGTCGTTTCTTACTTATGGTGGAACTCGAATAGGTCCTGCATGTTTCCAAAGATGATGTGCTCCTTGTTGATGATCCCTGGAGGAATCTCCTCCACGCCGCTGGTCATCTCCCACAGGTAGGTCTGAAAGACACAAAAAAGACAGGATTTCAAAACCAAAAAACTTGTAAACAGGTTTTTCTGATTCCTTTCCAGATGAAGTGTGAAAAGCTGTTGCACAACGGTGACATCAGCAGGTTAACAGCGGTGGGCTGTGAAGCTGAACTCACATCCATGCACTCCCGCAGGTCTCGCACGTAGGCTTTCTCCGTCTGAATCAGCTCTGCCATGATGAACCTGGACACACACGCACAATTCATTTGAACAAAGTCCTCATGCACATAATGATAAATCACCAGTGTCGACCGCTTTCTTTCAGCCCGTCTGCTTAACCCATCTACATGAATGAATAATGAAAGAGGGCCATAACACTGAGTTGGTCATAAAGCATCCTGAACGACGGAAATCACGCTCATGATTTGCGAGGCTCGTATAAAATGACGCAGTCTCCTTTTCCTGTTTCACGCTACATGTAGCTTCAGCTGTTGTGTCTGTACTTCTTGAGGAGGAGGAGGTTTAAATCACGCAAATCCATTATGTGCCAGATTTAAATTGAACTCACTCTCAGAACCACTCACAGGTATAGAGCAAGTATGACTACAGTGCTGACGTTGCTGTCGACAAGGACAGAGACGGGCATAATAATCATTCTTTTAAGAGACCAACTTAGTTACCGCTGGTCTGCTCTGCTGCAAATGTTGGCACTGGTCCAACTATTTAATTACACGTCCAAACAAACTATAAAACATATCTCCAAGAAGGAGAAATGTAATCAAATATATGCTGACTCGCTACTATTTGTATAGTTGGTAGGCAGAGCACGTACTGTTTAGTAGTAGAGCTTTTAGCTATGCAGGCTACATGCTAAACACCTTTTTAATGTGCTGTATTATAGGAACTAGCTTTTTATTTTTAAATATATTTTTGTTTGTTATATCGACATATTGAGTAGATAAAAATAACACAAAAACATATCAATTATAAAAATAATAAAAACATTTAAAGACAATTCCATAAAATACAAAATAAAGAAGAAATAAAGAAAAGAAAGCCAATTAATTTTTTTGTATAAAGTGATTTAAGAAGATAATTCAGTTTCTGGGGGAAAAGACACCAACTAAGAAGTGATTTAGAAAATGTCTGTTTGTGATTATAACTGCTTTAAACTATAACCGAAAATTCAGTAGCGTGACATAAACAGGAAGTAGTGACGTACTCCTTCCTGCGCGCCGACTTGCGTTTCTCCTCGTTGAGCTCGTGAGCGGCATCGCGCAGTTTGACCTCCGACCCCGGAGCCGTGGCAGGGATGATGTCCAACTGGAGATCCTTACTCTGAGAAGAGCACAGACAAATGAATACGTGACTTTAAGAGGCAGGCGTAACTTCAATGATGTCATTTTCTACCAAAAGGTATGATCACGTACGGCCTTGTTAGAGTCCGAGGAGATGCCGAGGGCTTTCTCCAGGCTGCAGCGGTACTTGTCCATGCGCAGGGAGAAGTCTCGGTAGCGCTTGTCCACAGCCGTCACCCATTTCTTGATCTCTCCAGCGTGACTGTGGCCTTTCTCACAGAAGCCGTCAGCCAGTTGGATCAGCAGCTTGACACGCTCCTTAGTTTGCTGAAGGAGAGGGGGGGAATACAGAGTGTTATAAGGACACACACATAGCGACGTGTGTGTGTGTGTGTGTGTGTGTGTGTGTGTGTGTGTGTGTGTGTGTGTGTGTGTGTGTGTGTGTGTGTGTGTGTGTGTGTGTGTGTGTGTGTGTGTGTGACAAAGTTTGCCTTGAGTGTGTGTGTGGCATCCGGCGCCTACCTTGTGTGTGTGGCTGGACAGAGGCAGGGGGCAGGAGGGGGCGGGGACATGAACGTGGGCGTGGGCGTGGGGGTGCATGTGGAAGAAGGGGGGGAGTCCGGTGTCTATACACACCTGTCTGCCAGGTATGGAGTGCATTGCTAGACCACCGGGCAGCTGGACGCGAGCCTGGGGGACGGAGGGGGAAATGATTTGTTACGGGGGGGAGCAACGACATCTAGCAGGGTTTCTAGACCGTGTTAAATATCAAATTAAAGTACTTTCAATGCACAATTCCTTCAAATTCAAAGACCTAAAAAGGCAAAAATGAGGCACTAAGCAAGGTAATAACATCCTTAAGGTTAATAACAAAATATTCCCATTCTTATATAAAATGTGCAGATATCAATAACTTTTACTGATATAAGTCTAATCATGTTTTTGTTCAGAATTCAAAGACCTTCAAGCATTAAGGGACCTTGGGAACCATGGCTAGCTATTCTTGATTCAATCTCATTTCTGGCTTTAGCTACGACTACATATTTAGGGTTGATGGAGAAGCTACGATGATAGCTTAGCCTAGCATGATAACTCTTATCTCCATTCAGAAACAAAGCATTTCAAAACGTTTTGCTTTCCCACTTTGGATAGACTTGACAAAACAATACTTTTTATATTCTAATCTATATCATTGAGAAGATATTTTGGACACATTCATTGCAATTAAATCAAAGCAACATATGTTCATTTTGGGTTCATCTCACTGAAGTAACCAAAATGGACTCACTGCTTTTGGTCTATGTTAAGTGTCACCCCTGGTGGCTGTAGCATACCCAGAATGCCTACCTGTGAGCCTGGATGCAGGAGGAGGTGGTGCCCCCCCATGCCGTGCTTCATGTTGAGGCACGGGGGCAGAGCTATCCCCATAGGCGGGAAAGACGGGAAAGGTGGCATGGTGGGCGGAGGGACGGGACACGGCAGCGCTGAGTCCGAGTCCTTTCAAACGACAGCAAAAAGAAGAGATAATGAGTATGTCACTCCTGCACGTCTCCGTTTAAATACAACTGTATAATTAGATCCAAATGGGACGTGCATCTGTTTGATAGGTTGGAGAGTATGAAAAAGCTATTGTTTATACATTATGATGGATGTCAAGTGGTTCATCACATCAAACTGTAGTTGTGTATATCAGAGGTAAAACTGGTTAGGCAACAGTTAGTCTTTGATGTTTCATACCATTACCATACCACCACCAGTGTTGTCTGCAGAGATCAATATATAAACGGGATTTATTTTAAATGACAAATATTGTATCGTAAGGTCACGGTGTGTTAAGACCAAGCGTATAGCACATTTTTCAGAAGGAGCACAGAAAGTACATGCAAAGACGGAAATACTCCCAAAACATGACAGTGACTATCATTTCAGTGCTTCTACAGTTTGTGCTTTCTTACGTTGTCTGATCCCGACAGTGAGGAGACGGAGGAGGCCGAGGAGTGCTGCTGGGGGCTGGAGATGGACATGGGGGAGTCTGCGCTGTGGGGAGACCCCGAGTCCCTCTGCTGCTCCTCCAGCCCGACCCCCCCACTGGGCTCTGGCTCCTTGGGAGGAGAAACTGCAAACAACAAAGACATTTTACTAACTATACTATTTAAAAAAAAAATGGGTAAAATGTACGAACGTTTTAACCGTTATATACCTTTCTTCTTAAAACTCAATAAAAAGATTAGATTTGAACAAAAAAACATTTATAGGCATAACATTATTTACTCTGTACTCCCCCTACAGCCTTAATGACGTACAGCACTCTTCCCTCATCGTTATAAAATGCCATATTAAAGTCTGAGGGATCGTACCTCTGTTGTCTGTTCGCACCAGATCCCTGCCCCCCCACTTCTTAATGATCCATTCCCTGTAGTCGATCACTTCCTGGGTCAACCTGATGATCCTCCCCATGGTGCTGCAGGACGGAGAAACAGATGGGTTTTTAAAAAAAGAACACAACTTTTATCCAGGGTATCTTGTTTTAAACTGTTGAATGGATTGAGTAGAAACCTTTCAGAGTCTTTGTTGGGGTAGGAGCGAGCGAGCGGGGACACGGCGTGACTCAGGACGATGTAGGCGTAGTCGAACACCTGCTTGACGTGCATGGCACCATAGGAGCCCCTCCCCACATCATTACCTGCATGGAGCAAAGACATACACAACAACACAATAACACAACTTCTGGGGAACGATGGCTAAGTAAGCGGTGTGCCACTCAAGCTTTAATTTAGTTATTCTTAACTCCACGCTTGCTCAATTGCTATACTCACTCAAAATCATTAGTTTGGTTTATGTAGTGCTGTATTGAACTCAGGGATCAACTTCAAACATTTGCCAAACTGTGTGAACCATTGACATTAAAGCCATTATGCAGATTTGTTAAAAAGGTTAGCATCTTTCAATTGATGTAATGGCATAGGGTTGTTTATGTACAAAGCACTAACATCCAGGGGCTGTCTATGTGTTTCTTTTATCACTCTGTGTGCTATCTTTATTTTTTTAAACTACCACCAGATGTCCCCAAAATGGGGATTTTTCAAATCCTGATACATTGTATAAAATGATATGAACATGTGTGCTCATATAGGTCAAGTATTCCTCAGTACATTCGGAGGTGGCTGGTGAAAAGGGCAAAAGGGCAAATTTCTACAAGTACACTGAATCTCTAGTAGGTCTATAAAGTCTATCTGTTGATCATGCCTCCTCTTTAAATCAAATAACAAAATGACATGGCACTGAGTGACACAGTTTTAACACTTTGGTTACAATAAGGGTAAACATTTTATTTATTCTTCTTCTTTGTCCTTTTTTCACGAGTAAAGTGATTGTAATCAGTTTTGTTACAATGCAGCTATTAATAAAAGGTAATCAATACCCTTGGTAACTTTTGTATTTCAGGTGGAAGATAGATATGTCAGTACCATTTGTTACCAGTAATCCACACACACACACACACACACACACACACACACACACACACACACACACACACACACACACACACACACACACACACACACACACACACACACACTACTACTTACTACTTATATAT